CACCGCGGAGACGGTCGTGGAGTGGCTCATGGACCGCGGCACTCAGAACGGCGGGCTGGATGAAGTCCCTGATGTGCTCAGCGTGCAAGAGACTAGGCTGAAGAACCCCGACGAGGCGATCTCAGCAACTCGCTGGTGCACGAGGAGAGGTTGGCACGTGGCTCATGGGATGGCCCACACCACTGGCCCAGGTCCTACTCAAAGTTCGTCTGGTGTTGCAGTCGCCGTACAGCAGCCGATCGCCTCAGAGCCCGCGACCTCCGTCGAGCTGAGTGGCAGCAAGGGTGGGTTTGTGATTCGGAAGGCGAGCGTCGGCTTTCCGCGAGGCATGCTGTTCATCTCAGCCTGCTTCATCACGGGTTGCGAGTTGACGGGGCCCAACCTGACTTTGCTCGAAGCACTAGGCGAGTTTCTACTAAGTCAGCCGCTGCCCTGGATTGCACAGGGGGATTTCAATTTTTTGCCGTCAGATTTGATTGCCTCAGGCTGGCTTCAGACTGTTCGGGGAGAAGTTGCCGCGCCGACAACGTCGACGTTTTCTGGGCCCAGTTCAGTCAAAACTCGGTCTGCGGGCGAAGGCTCCCAGGTTGTGAAAGAGGGCGCGGCCCTGTATGAGGATGATGGGGAGAGTGCAAGTGGAGGGGGCCGTGTCTTGGACTACTTCGTGATGGCGGAGTGCCTCATGTCTAGGGTCAAGAGCCTCCAGGTCCTCGTGGATGCCCCGTTGTACTCCCACAACCCCGTCTACATGGAGCTCGAGGGCCTTTCTCACACGGCGGTGATTTACAGGCAAGTGAGACTCAAGGCCTTTGAGCATGACCTGTATGGGCCCCATCAGGAGCCTCCAGAAGATCTTGATTGGGGTTGGGATCTGGGCGCCGACTCCAACGAGGTTTCCCTGGAGGAGATGTGCAAAAGATGGTTCATGTTTTCGGAAGTCAGGCTCGTCAGCCTCCACGGGATAGAAGAGTCGGATATCAAGTGCTACACGGGGAGGGCCCGAGGGCCCAGGATGCAGAAGATTCCTCTAGGGGCTCTTTGGGATAAGGACCAGAGGCGACGTTTCTCCAGCTCCACTACGTCTTGGGTTGCGTTCCAGGCCCTGGTGCAGCGCTGCCGTCAATCTGCCGCAGGCGCAGTCGGCCGTCGAGGCCGTGAGTTTCTGTCCAGCTGGCGTGGCAAGCTGGAGCGCATGATAGATTGCATGCAGCCCGTCGAGGGCGTTATCTCTGCCTCGGTGCTCGTGGAGCTTGCTAGGGGCGCCGCAGAGGGTAAGCTTCAGGGGGGCTCGGAGGTGCTGGGGGAGTTGGACAAGGAGGTCTGCGGGAGGAGGAAGCAGGGCGCGAAGGAGAGCCTGCAGGAGTGGAAGGAGTGGGCGGTGAGTTCTGTCAAAGGAGGAGGCAAAGCAGCGCGTGCGTTTTCAAGGCGAACCCTGTCGAGCCCCACGTCCCTGCTGAATTAGTCAGGCCACCCTGTTTGTGGGCAAGAGGCGCTCAGTTTTCTCCTGCCGGTCTGGGCGCCGCTCTGGATTGCAGCGGGCCGAGGGGCCCATCGCCCGTCGTCTTGGGCGATCCCGCCCGAGGAGCCCGAGCTGCCCTTCATCTCCGCAGACCAACTTCGAAGGGTATGTAAGAGGTATTCCAGAAGATGTGGGTTGGGGTGGGATGGTTTCCATCCGCGTTGGGTTCTGGATTTGAGCGGGGAATATGTTGCCAGATTGGTCGACGTGCTGCATCAGTTCGAAAGGGCCCCGCAAGACCTCCTGTTGTTCATGACGAATATAGTGTTCATCGACAAGAGTGATGGGGGGGGGGGTCCGCCCCATTGGGCTTCTGGCGTTCTTCGCGAAGATGTGGTCCAGGGTCCGTCAACCTCTGTCCAAAAAGTGGGAACAGGCGCATATGGAAGATGTTTTCTGGGGGGTAAGCAGTACCACCACATGTGAACGTGCGGGGTGGATGCATAATCTGCTGGGCAGCTACTGTAAGAGTGTCGGGTTCGAGTCTGGAACCGCCTTGCTAGATCTGTCAAAGTTCTACGAACACATTGGCCATGGGGATCTGTACCAAGCCGCTCTACAATTTGGGTTTCCCATGCGGCGGCTACGGTGTCTGTGCACGGTGTACGCATGCCCTCGCACGCTGCTCTACGGCGGAGCGGTGTCCAGCATCGTGCGCGCGAATGGCTCGGTGATAGCTGGCTGCAGTGGGGCTACGTGTTTGGCGAAGCTGCTCCTGCTTGGGCCCTTGTTGAAGGCCAGAGAGGGGAGACCGCAGCTCTACATCAGAAACGTGGTAGATGACATAGCGCTGCAGGCGTGTGGAAGGGCGATCCAGGTTGCGTCGGTTCTCAGCTCGGGTGTCGAGTCGCTGCTCGGGGACTTCGATCGACTTAACCTTCCTGTGGCGGTGAAAAAGACCAAGTACATCTGTAGTGCTGAGGTGCAGAAGCTTCTCCAGGGGAAATGGCGTATCCCGCCCTCGTCGCGAGTGGACACGGCTCGAAATCTGGGAACGGACGCGGCGTCGGGTTCCTGTCGAAGAGTTGGGATAGCCAGAAGGAGGTTTGCGAACGCTAGATCTCGAGCTAGTAGGCTTCAGATATTACGTGATGCAGGGGCTGAGGTAGGCCTCATCCAAAGAGTCGGGGCCACCGCTGTGGCCCTGTGGGGGAGCAGTGTGATGGGCATCCCCCCATCAGCGATGCACGGTCTCCGAGTGTCAGCTGCTCGGAGTATCGGTCGCCTCCCCAAGGGCTGTAGTCTAGGACTCAGGCTCCATTCGTTCAGGATGGGTGTGCTGTGTGATCCCTTGGTGGCCTACACGGGGCACGTAGTGTTTCAATGGGCCACGGCTGTTTGGGGCAGTTTTCCTTCGAGGCTGATCCTGGGGGCGACGATGGATGCGGCTATTGAAAAACTGGCGCGTTACCGCCGCCCCTGGAGGGTCGCCTCGTCGCCTGCGGACGTTGTTTGCTTTTCTCTGGACAGGATCGGCTGGAGGTTTTTAACCAGCACCAGGCTCCGCGATGATTTAGGTTCGGTCGGGGACCTCAGCCAGCTCTCGCCTTGTGAAGTCAGGGAACTAGTGCACGAGAGGGCTACCAGAGCCTCCGACAGGCTTGCGTTGGGAAGTGTGGGGCGCCTTGGGGGCGAGGGCCCTCAGAGGCTTGATGGTGTTTTTCTTGTGTTTTGGGCCGGCCTTGGGACGCTCCTCAGGAGCAAAACCAAAGACTGGACGGCCCATCACCAGCGGGCGCTGCGCTCGCTAGTGTGCAATGTGCATTGGCCGCAGGCCAGAGTGTATGGGCGCGGGCTGCACAGCTCTGATGTCTGTCAACTTTGTAAGGTGGCTCAGGGGACGCTGTGGCACAGGCAGTACGAATGTGCATCACGCAGCAGCGTCAGAAGGGGCGCTGTTTCCCCCTGGCTGGCTGTCCGTGCTCGGCGTGCCTTGGACGGTGGGGGGGACGTTGGGGGGCGGTTTGCGAAATGTGTGATGGCCAGCCCTTTGGCCTGTATTCCGCGTGTAGAGCCAGAGACCACGATCAGGTGGGTGAATAAGCCCGCCAGTGGATTCCTCTCGGGGTGCATCTTTAGCGACGGTTCGGCCTTGTGGCCCTCTCTTCCAGGAGTCTGCAGAGCGGGATGGGCTCTCGTGCAGGTAGATCGGCTGGGAAATGTGCTGCATGCTGCTTACGGTCCTGTGCCGCTCAGCTTCGGCCCCCGCCAGTCGGCCAAAGACGGCGAATACTTCGCCATTTACATGCTCACACAAGTTGGCATCGCTCCGTTTGAGCTGTATCTAGATAGCAAGGCCACTCTAGACACCTTGCTCGGAGGCCCAGGGTCGGGGGCTGAAGCGAGGTCCCCGAGAGGCCACATGTGGGGCCCGTTTTGGGCCGCCTTCGAGGGATGCGACATCCAGGCCCGCAAGAGTCTGGCCCATGCTTCCAGGAATGACATAGAAGCTGGTCGCACCACGGTCTGGGAGAAAAAGGCCAACTCGAGTGCGGATCAGTATGCGAAGCTAGGGGCAAGGATGCATGGAGCTGATGACTCCCATGCACAACAAGGGAGGTGGGCGGGTAGGCTGGAAGTTTTGATGGCCACCAGCGGCCAGAGCAGGCAGGACACGGTCGGGCTGCAGATACCTGACCAGGAGCTGCCTGCCGAGCCCACGCCCCCTCCCGAACTCGCCGATGAGGAGGAGGAGGAGGTTGTCGGTCCGTCGAGTGTCGTTGGTGCGGAGGAAGGAGTGGATACATGCTGGGCCGACGAGGCCCGAGTCGCGTTCTACTTTAGACGGCATGCTTTAGTCCGATGCTCGATTGTGACGCCTTCTAAGATAGGTGGCGAAGTGGTTTTCTGTTTTAGGTGTGGGGGCTACACGTCGGGGCGTCTGGGCCGCACCCTCCTGGAGCGGTGTCTCGGGAAGCCCGCCAGCCCAGGGATCAGGACCCAGCTGAATCGGCTCCGAGCTGGAAAGCACCCACACTATCGTGCCACCACGAAATCCCTCGTGCTCGGTCCCTCTGGCCCGTTGAGCTCCCAGGAACAGATCGAGATCGAGGGATCAGTGGATTCATGTGAAGCAGTGGCGGCGAGCTCGAGCTCGTCTGCTGCTGATGGATTTAGTCCAGTACTGCCCTCGCAAGATTCGGTTCTTGCGGCCTTTGGGATTCTGGAGTCTGAGCTGCCGAGGGTGAAGGAACTCGGGCAGTGTCGGGCCGTGGGCGGTCCAGACGGTGAGTCTGAAGCCTCCGACGGCGAGCTCTTCTGACTCTGAACCTGCCTTCAAGGCCGTCCACCACCACCACCACCACCTGCTCCTCCTCTTCCTCCTCCTCCTCCTCCTGCCCCTCCTCCTCCTCCTCCTCCTCCTCCTCCTCCTCCTCCTCCTCCTCCCCTTCCTCCTCCTCCTCCCCCTCCTCCTCCTCCTCCACACTTTCTGCCGCGGTGCCAGAGCGGCGGCGTGCGGTCGCGGGCGCGCCCTGGCGAGGTGCACCGTTTCCCCGACGGCAAGCTGCAGGCGCTGCGGCCCTCCCGCCTTCCCGTGGGGCCGCGGGCAGCTCGGGGGGGCGTCCCCCGCTGGGGGTCCGCCGGTCCCCGTCGTCGACTGCCATTTTTCACCAGCACCACCATAGGTAGGAGAGGGGGCAGAAGGAGGAGGAGGAGGAGGAGGAGGAGGAGGAGGAGGAGGAGGAGGAGGAAAAGGAGGAGGAGGAGGAGGAGAAGAGGAGGAGGAAAAGGAGGAGGAGGAGGAGGAGGAGGAGGAGGAGGAGGAGGAGGATGGGCAGGAGGAGGAGGAGGAGGAGGAGGAGGAGGAGGAGGAGGAGCAGGAGGAGCAGGAAGAGGAGGAGGAGGAGGAGGAGAAGCAGGAGGAGAAGGAGGAGGGGGAGGAAGAGGAGGAGGAGGAGGAGGAGGAGGACCAGTGTAAGCCCAAGAGTCATCAACGATGTTGGAATAAAGCCTCCCACACCTGTCCATAGGTCCCCGCAGCAGTGCATTTCCACCGAGGGAGCTGCCTCGTTGGAAGACAACCGTCTGAAGATGTTGAAGCATGCCGGAACATTGTTGTCGGGATTTCAACGCCACGGATCAACCTGACTGCTGCGTCTCGACAATCCTGAATCGTACCAGCACGCCATTCCCAGGGCTTCAGCACCGCGAGTGAACGTAATTGTTGCACCATCATTGTGCTGAATCTTTCCAAAACACCATTCCTGATACGTTGATCATGAGAATCCTGGAAAATCTGGCAACTGTTATAGAATAGTGCGTGCGGCGCTAAGACGAGAGCCACAGATTGAAAACGAAACGCCCTCAGTCAGTAAAACTCCTGCAGCTTTTGAACATGAATTTTCGCGGCGCTAATGCGAGAACCACATTTTGAAAACGGTTCGCCCACCATCCGTGAAGCTGTTGTTTTTTTTAAGCTTCCGGGTCATATATGGTGAGGAAGTCTGAAGCAAAACGCCCAGCCAACCTTGAAAACTGGCCGCGGGGTGCGACAGGGAGAAGTTATTTGGAAGGAAAGGGAACAGAAGAGGAGGAGGAGGAGGAGGAGGAGGAGGAGGAGGAGCTCCCCACCCTCCCTTCCCCCCCGTCCTATCGATGGTAGTGGTGGTGGAAGACTTGGCCCATCAACAATGGCACAAACCTAAACCTTCGACGGTTCGCGCGGATTTCGTGGATCTGCGCTGGGGCCCCCTGGCGGCACCTCTGGCGCCGCCACCAGCGCGCTCCGTGCGCTCCCCACGCCAGGGGGGGGGGTCCAGCGCGGACCCAAGAGATCCTCGCGGACCGTTCAACGCTTATGTTTACACAGCTACTTGTTTCTCTATTCTGGCCAGGCCTCCCCACTTGTACATGGGACGGAGGATCGCGCCGCATGGCAGATACACTGGCGAGCGCGGCTCGTCATGGGGCCCAATTCTGTCTGCGCCAACGTCGCGGATGCGTCGGCGACGTATTGGCGATGCGTTGCGATTCTTTGGTGCCGTCTAGTCGCTCTCCATTTGGGAGGCCTATACTGATCCCCTCGTGGCCAGCCCACACTTCAGAGCCATCATGCCTTCCCGCCCCTCCGTTGACCCCGTCGTTGGGGAGCTACTCTGTGGTCGTCCTGGGTTCGCGACATCGCCCTGGCTGACCCGGGTCAGCATTGACCTGGGTTAGCCCGTCCCCGACGGTCGGTCGTCGGTCATCGGTGGGGTGGGTTTTTTGGAAAATGCGCCAGTGGATCTCCCTGAATACACTAAAGGGGTGGGGGGGTCCAGAACCCCCCCCCTCCCCCCCTTCAGAGGGGGGGGGGAGGTCCAGAACCCCCCCCCCCCTCCCCCCCGTAAGGGGGGAGGGGGGGTTCCCGAACCCTCCCCCCCTCCCTTGAAGGGGGGGGGGGTCCGGACCCCTCCCCCCCTCCCCCCCCTTGGCGCTGGAAAAAAGGGGGGGGGGGTTCGGACCCCCCCCCCCCCCCCTTGTGTAGGGAGTACGGAGTTGGGAGTAGGGAGTGGTGAGTAGTCAGTAGTGAGTTAGTGCGTAGTCAGTAGTGAGTATTGGGAAGTGAGTAGTGGGTTGTGAGTGGCGAGTAGGGAGTAGGGAGTACGGAGTGGGGAGTAGTGAATAGTGAATAGTGAGTAGTTTGTACTGATAAGGGAGTAGTGAGTGGCGAGTAATGAGTAGTGAGTAGTGAGTACCGAGTAGCGAGTAGTGAGTGCTGAGTAGGGAGTAGGGAGTAATGAGTAGTGGGTAGTGAGTACTGGGGAAGTGAGTAGTGGGTGGCGAGTAGCGAATACCGAGTGGTGAGTAGTGGGTAGTGCGTAGTGCGTAGTGAATAGTGAGTAGTGAGTAGCGAGTAGTGAGTAGGTAGTAGTGAATAGTGAGTAGTGAGTACTGAGTAGTACGTAGTGCGTAGTGAGTAGTGAGTAGTAAGTAGTGATGAATAGAGAGTAATGGCTAGTGGCAGTGGGTAGTGAGTAGTGAGTAGCGAGTAAGGAGTA